CCTTGTGAAAGTTACGTGATGTTCCCCCTATTATTGATGCTTCAAACATTGAGTTTTCACTAATTTGGAAGCCTGGGTGAGATGCAATTCACCTTGTGAAAGTTGGGTGATGTTTCACCTAGTTATGATGCTTCAAACTTTGATTTTTCATTGATTTCGGAGCCTAGGTAAGTTGCGATTCACCTTGTGAAAGTTCCGTGATGTTTCCCCTAGTGATGATGCTTCAAACTTTGAGTTTTCACTCATTAAGGAGCTTCGGTAAGTTGCGATTCACCTTGTGAAAGTTCCGTGATGTTTCCCCTAGTATTGATGCTTCAAACTTTGAGTTTTCACTGATTTGGGAGACTGGGTAAGTTGCGATTCACCTTGTGAAAGTTCTGTGATGTTTCCCTTAGTGATGATGCTTCAAACTTTGAGTTTTTCCTGATTTGGGAGTCTGGGTAAGTGCGATTCACTTTGTTAAAGTTCCGTGATGTTTCGCCTAGTGTTGATGCTTCAAACTTTGAGTTTTTACTGATTTGGGAGCCTGGGAAAGTTGCAATTCACCTTGTGAAAGTTCCGCGATGTTTCCCCAAGTGATGATGCTTCAAACTTTCAGTTTTCACTTATTTGGGAGCCTACGTAAGCTGCGATTCACCTTGGGAAAGTTCCGTGATGTTTCCTTTAGTGATGATGCTTCAAACTTTAAGTTTTCACTGATTTCGGGGCCTGGGTAAGTTGCGATTCACCTTGTGAAAGGTCCGTGATGTTTCCCCTAGTGATGATGCTTCAAACTTTAAGTTTTCACTGATTTGCGGGTCAGGGTAAGTTGTGATTCACCTTGTGAAAGTTCCGTGATGTTTCCCCGAGTGATGATGGTTCAAACTTTGAGTTTTCACTGATTTGGGTATCTGGGTAAGTTGCGATCCACCTTGTGAAAGTTCCGTGATGTTTCCCCCAGTGTTGAGGCTTCAAACTTTAAGTTTTCACTTATTTGGGAGCCTGGATACGTTGCGATTCACCTTGTGAAAGTTTCGTGATGTTTCCCCTAATGATGATGCTTCAAAGTTTGAGTTTTCACTGATTTGGGAACCTGGGTAAGTTGTGATTCACCTTGTGAAAGTTCCGTGATGTTTCCCCTAGTGATGATGCTTCAAACTTTGAGTTTTCACTGATTTGGGAGCCTGGGTTATTTGCGATTCACCTTGTGAAAACTCTGTGATGTTGCCCTTCGTGTTGATGCTTCAAACTTTCAGTTTTCACTGATTTGGGAGCTTGGGTAAGTTGTGATTCACCTTGTGAAAGTTCCGTGATGTTTTCCCTAGTGATGATGCTTCAAACTTTGAGTTTTCACTGATTTGGGAACCTGGGTAAGTTGCGATTCACCTTGTGAAAGTTCCATGATTTTTCCCCTAGTGATGATGCTTCAAACTTTGAGTTTTCATTGATTTGGGAGTCAGGGTAAGTTGTGATTCACCTTGTGAAAGTTCCGTGATGTTTCCCCTAGTGATAATACTTCAAACTTTGGATTTTCACTGATTTAGGAGCCTGGGTATGTTGCGATTCACCTTATGAAAGTTTCGTGATGTTTCCCTTTGTGTTGATTCTTCAAAATTTGAGTTTTCACTGATTTCGGAGCCTGGGTAAGTTGTGATTCACCTTGTGAAAGTTCCGTGATGTTTCCCTTTGTGTTGATGCTTCAAACTTTGAGTTTTCCCTGATTAGGGAGTCTGGGTATGTTGTGATTCACCTTGTGAAAGTTCCGTGATGTTTCCCTTGTGTTGATGCTTCAAACTTTAAGTTTTCACTGATTTGGGAGTTTGGGTAAGTTGCAACTCACCTTGTGAAAGTTCCTTAATGTTTCCCTTTGTGTTGATGCTTCAAACTTTGAGTTTTTACTTATTTGGGAGCCTGGGTAAGTTGCGATTCACCTTGTGAAGGTTCCGTGATGTTTCCCTTTGTGTTGGTGCTTCAAACTTTGAGTTTTCACTGATTTGGGAGCGTGGGTAAGTTGCGATTCATCTTGTGAGAATACTGTGATGTTCCCCTAAAGTTGATGCTTCAAACTGTGAGTTTTCACTGATTTGGGAGCCGGGGTGAGTTGCGCTTCACTTCGGGATACTTCGGTGATGTTTCTTCCTCATAGGATGCTTCAAATCTTACCTTTATATTGTTCTTGATGAGTGTGTGTGTGGCGCTTCACTTCAGGATACTTTGGTGATGTTTCCTCCTCATAGGATGGTTCAAATCTTACCTTTATGCTGTCCTTGATGAGTGTGTGTGTGGCCCTTCACTTCGGAATACTTTGGTGATGTTTCCTCCTCATAGGATGCTTCAAATCTTACCTTTATGTTGTCCTTGATGAGTGTGTGTGTGGCGTTTCACTTCGGGATACTTCGGTGATGTCTCCTCCTCATATGATGCTTGAAATCCTAGCTTTATGTTGTCCTTGATGGGTGTGTGTGTAGGGCTTCACTTCGGGATACTTCGGTGATGTTTCCTCCTCATAGGATGCTTCAAATCTTACCTTTAGGCTGTCCTTGATGAGTGTGTGTGTGGCGCTTCACGTCGGGATACTTTGGTGATGTCTCCTCCTCATAGCATGCTTCAACTCTTACCTTTATGCTGTCCTTGATGAGTGTGTGTGTGGCGTTTCACTTCTGGATACTTCGGTGATGTTTCCTCCTCATAGGATGCTTCAAATCTTACCTTTATGCTGTCCTTGATAAGTGTGTGTGTGGCGCTTCACTTCGGGGTACTTCGGTGATGTTTCCTCCTCACAAGATGTTTCAAATCTTACCTTTATTCTGTCCTTGATGAGTGTGTGTGTGGCGCTTCACTTCGGGATACTTCGGTGATGTTTCCTCTTCATAGGACGCTTCAAATCTTGTCCTTATGTTGTCCTTGATGAGTGTGTGTATGGCGCTTTATCCCGGGGTACCTTGGTGAGCTTACCTCCAGGGTAGATGTTGTCAACATTGTTCTTTTGCTTTTATATGTGCATGGGTAGGTTGCTGTTCACCAGGTAGTACTTCGCTGTTCAACCCCCGGGGTAGGATGTTGTTCATATTGTTCGTTTGGTATTCTATGTGCATGAGTAGGCTGCAGTTCATCCGGTAGTACTTCGCTGTTCAACCCCTCGGGTAGGGTGCTGTTCGCATTGTTCTTCTGCTGTTCTGTGTGCATGGGTAGGTTGTTGTTAACCCGGTTGTACTTCGTTGTTCAACCCCCGCAGTAGGGTGCTGTTCACATTGTTCTTTTGTTGTTCTATGTGCATGGGTAGGCTGTTGTTCATCCGGTAGTACTTCGCTGTTCAACCCTCGGGGTAGGGTGCTGTTCACATTGTTCTTCTGTTGTTCTATGTGCATGGGTAGGTTGTTGTTCACCCGGTAGTACTTCGTTGTTCAACCCCCCGCGGAAGGGTGCTTTTCAGATTGTTTTTTTGTTGTTCTATGTGCAAGGGAAGATTGTTGTTCATCCGGTAGTACTTCGTTGTTCAACCCCCGGGGTAGGGTGCCGTTCACATTGTTCCTTTGTTGTTCTATGTGCATGGGTAGGTTGATGTTCACCAGGTAGTACTTCGTTGTTCAACCTCCGGGGTAGGGTGCTGTTCACAATGTTCTTTTGTTGTTCTATGTGCATAGGATGGCTGCTGTTCCTCCGGTAGTACTTCGTTGTTCAACCCCCGGGGTAGGGTGTTGTTCACATTGTTCTTTTGCTGTTCTATGTGCATGGGTAGGTTGTTGTTCATCCGCTAGTACTTCGCAGTTCAACCCCCGGGGTAGGGTGTTGTTCACATTGTTCTTCTGTTGTTCTATGTGCATGGGTAGGTTGCTGTTCACCCGGTGGTGCTCCGCTGTTCAACCCCCGCGGTGGGGTGTTGTTCACATTATCAGTTGTTGTTCTATGTACATGAGTAGGGTGTTGTTCACATTGTTCTTCTGTTGTTCTATNGTTCAACCCCCGCGGTGGGGTGTTGTTCACATTATCAGTTGTTGTTCTATGTACATGAGTAGGGTGTTGTTCACATTGTTCTTCTGTTGTTCTATATGCATGGGAAGGTTGCTGTTCACCCGGTGGTGCTCCGCTATTCAACCCTCGCAGAGGGGTGCTGTTCATATTATTAGTTGTTGTTCTATGTACATGAGTAGGGTGTTGTTCACATTGTTCTTCTGTTGTTCTATGTGCATGGGTAGGTTGCTGTCCACCCGGGGTTCCCTGCTGTTCAACCCCCGCGGTGGGGTGATGTTCACATTGTTAGTTTGTTGTTCTATGTACATGAGTAGGGGGCTGCCCACCCGGTGGTGCTTCGCTGTTCAATCCCCGGGTAGGGTGTTGATCACATTGCTGTTTTTACTGCTCTAAATACTTGGGAAGGCGTCGACGGGTCACTACTTGTTGCTTCCTCTCTTGGGAATCTACGGGGGGCGCGTGCAGCCAACACCACCGACCTACGAGAAAAGAATAAGGGGTAGGGAGTTGGGCGGTAGAATAGGATCGGTCGCGGACCACGGGACAAGCGAGCCACCACCCACACCCGTCCACCATAACCGGCCGCCCCTAACCCTTCTTCCTTCTTCATCACCCACACCCATCCACCATAGCCGACCACCTTCAACCCTCCTTCCCCCTCCATCACTCACGTCCATCCCCCATAGCCGGACCTCCCCAACCCTTCTTCTTCCTCCATCACTCACACCCGTTCACCGTAGCCCTCCTCCCCCAACCCTTTTTCCTCCTCCATCACCCACACCCATCCACCATAGCCAACAACCCCCAACCGTTCTCCCTCCTCCGTCACCCACACCCGTCCACCATAGCCGACCACCCCCAACCCTTCTTCCTCCTCCGTTACCCACACCCGCCCGCCATAGCCGACCTCCCTCAACCCTTCTTCCTCCTCCATCACCCACAACCGTCCACCATAGCCGACCTCCCTCGACCCTTCTCCCTCCTTAATCACCCACACCCGACCACCATAACCGACCTTCCTCAACCCTTCTTCCCCCTCCATCACTCACGTCCGTCCCCCATTGCGGGACCTCCCCAACCCTTCTTCTTCCTCCATCACTCACACCCATCCACCATAGCCAACAACCCCCAACCATTCCCCCTCGTCCATCACCCACACCCGTCCATCATAGCCAACAACCCCCAACCCTTCTCCCTCCTCCGTCACCCACACCCGCCCACTATAGCCAACAACCCCCAACCCTTCTCCCTCCTCCATCACCCACACCCGACCATCATAACCGGCCTCCCTTAACCCTTCTTCCTCCTCCATCACCCACGCCCGTCCACCATAGCCAACTACCCCCGACCCTTCTTCCCCCTCCGTCACCCACACCCCTCCGCCATAGCCAACCCCCCTCAACCCTTCTTCCTCCTCCGTCACCCACACCCGTCCGCCATAGCCAACCTTCCTCAACCCTTCTTCCTCCTCCTTCACCCACACCCGTCCGCCATAGCCGACCACCCCCAACCCTCCTTCCTCCTCCATCGCGCACACCCGTCCGCCATAGCCGACCACCCCAAACCCTTCTTCCTCCTCCATCACCCACACCCGACCACCATAGCCGACCTCCCTCAACCCTTCTTCCTCCTCCATCAGCCACATCCGACCACCATAACCGACCTCCCTCAACCCTTCTTCCTGCTCCATCACCCACGCCTGTCCACCATGGCTGACCACCCCCAACCCTTCTTCCTCCTCCGTCACCCACACGCGTCCGCCATAGCCAACCTCCCTCAACCCTTCTTCCTCCTCCAACACCCACACCCGTCCGCCATAGCCGACCACCCACAACCCTCCTTTCTCCTCCATCACCCACACCCATACGCCATAGCCGACCTCCCTCAACCCTTCTTCTTCCTCCATCACCCTCGCCCGTCCACCATGGCCGACCACCCCCAACCCTTCTTCCTTCTCCGTCACCCACACCCGTCCGCCATAGCCGACCTCCCTCAACCCTTCTTCCTTCTCCATCACCCACACCCGTCCGCCATAGCCGACCACCCCCAACCCTTCTTCCTCCTCCATCACCCACACCCGTCCNCCCCCAACCCTTCTTCCTCCTCCATCACCCACACCCGTCCGCCATAGCCGACCACCCCCAACCCTTCTTCCTCCTCCATCACCCACGCCCGTCCCCCATAGTCAACGACCCCAAACCCTTCTTCCTCCTCCATCACCGACACCTGTCCGCCATAGCCGACCACTCCCAACCCATTTTTCCTCTTCCATCGCCCACACCCGTCCGCCATAGCCAACCTCCCTCAACCCTTCTTCCTCCTCCATCACCCACACCCGTCCGTCATAGCCGACCATCCTTAATCCTTCTTCCTCCTCCCCCGCCCGCGTCCGTCCATCCGAAAAAAATCTTAGGGGGTCGCAAGGGGGGCGCGCGGGGCCCGAGTAGGATCGGATAGGGTAAGTCAATAAGCAAGGTCGATTAGGATGTGAAGCTTCTTGTTCGTTCGTTCTCTCTCTCTCTCTCTCTCTCTCTCTCTCTCTCTCTCTCTCTCCATTCCTCCAAAATTCTTTAACCTTTAACCCTTCCGACACCCCTTCCCCTCCATGGCATGTTACTAACCTCTACCCTCACCTGTTACATTGACAGGGGACGAACGAGAAGGAACTTGGTCCTCACTTGGTGGAAAGCGAGGGCGAGGGAAGGGCTGCCGGTCCCTTGTGCCACCAAGAAGGAAAGGATACGAGGCTATTGAGAACAATTGGGAAAGCGGAAAGAGGTGCAGATTTTGGACGAGGTCAATTTGACTCAGCCATCCTCCCGGACTGCATGACTAAGGCGATTGGATGGCTTGCTTGCGGGAAAAGGGAAGGGAACTCTTGAGGGGAGTTGGAAGGCAAAGGGGACTTAGGATTGCGGAAGGGGCGATGTGTTGATCCCAACGGGGGGGATCGTACTTGGTGAATTGTCTTATGTGGTCTCGCGCAGGTGAGTAGCTTGGGACGAGTTGGATGGGGCTGGATCCACGGATGAGGACTAAGATGGGAGATTGGCTAAGGGAAAGGACTTGGACCCGGCCTAAGCCGTGAATGCGGGTTGAGTTGTGGCCGGCGCTTGAGCGGGTGTTTGATGCATGGACTCGGCTTGTGTGGGGGTGGCGTGGAATGTCTCTCTCTCATGTGCAATGCGACGCCTGAAAAGACTAAGGGCGGTTTTGGGTAGGTAGATGTGATGCTAGTGGCTCTCGCAAAAAAAATATACAGGCTAGGGGTCCGAGCGTCGCCGCCTCACCCCAAGGATGCCGTCGGGGATGGCTTGAGCTACTAAGCTTAGTGAAAAGGTGCGTCGCCCAATGGATGACGCTTGGCCTACGCACGGAAAGAAGACGAGACCCCAATGAACCCCCTGGACTGCTTGCGTATTGGAAGGAGCAATCGCCTGGTCAGACCTAATTGAATCCAGAAAACGCCACAAGTGCCCAAAGAGCTACCATCTTGACGCGAGAGCGGAGCTACATCCCCCAATGTAAAGCCCTCTCGCAAAAGGCCCACTCCCATCCATCTCAAAGCACTAGGTGGGGGTGCCCCTGGGACGAACGACCCGCGCCCAGAGCATGAGCGTGGGCGGGTCGAGCCAAATGGAACCCGAAGTGGGGTCGACCGAGGCTCGAAAATCCTTCAGGGTAAGGCCCCGACATCGGTGCGGCTGGCAGCGAAGTTACAGACAAGTAATAAGAAGACCAAGAAGACGCCGAACAAATGCACGTCGAGGAGAGGGACCCCGAAGACGAAGTTTGCGGCCATGACGGGAGCCGCGGGAAGGGTCAAATTCGTACGAGAGAACGTTTGACGACTTGAAGGAGATTTGTCGTAAAGAAGGTGTGGATTACGGTAACAAGGCCATCGCAACTATCAATATTGCCGAGAAATGCGCAAAGGATGCTTATGACGCAACAACGATCCGGATGACTGCTGAGATCGTGCACAAGCGGTTATCGGGTAGCTGAAAATTCACGAATGAAAATTCTGAAGTGGGAGCTTAGGGCAGTCTGAAAATCCTGAATGGTCCTGAAGTGGTGAAAGATCCAAAGACCCTGAAAACCAGCTGTTTAAGCAGGTTGCATCCTGAAGTGGTCAAGTAAGAATTTTGGGCAGTCTGGAAATCGTGAATGGTCCTGAAGTGGTGAAAGGTCCGAAGACCATGAAAACCACCCTTCACCACTTGAGGATGCAACCTGCCTAAACAGGTGGTTTTTAGGGTCTTCGGAGCTTTCACCACTTTAGGACCATTTAGGATTTTCAGACCTGAATGGTCCTTAAGTGGTGAAAGGTCCGAAGACCCTAAAAACCACCTGTTTAGGCAGGTTGCATCATGGAGTGGTGATGAGTGTCCTGAAGTGGTGATGAAAAATACGACTCTTGTTAACCTTCTCTCAGATCGTGACACAAGAAGGCGAAGAAGATACGACATTTTTCGAGGATGATGAATCGCAAGGGGAGAACCTTGCCGCATGAACCAGTGTGGACGATGAACGTATGTGGTTGTTTGTCTCATGCTTGACGAATAAACGAAGACAGGGTAAGTTGGACAGGAAGTTGGAGAAGATTTACCGCATGGTGCTGATCTTGCTTACATTGAGTGGGCAGATTAAGTGGCTAACTAAGTGTGTGGACACTTGGGTGAAATTGTATAGGGTGGAGGGTCTGGACTTTTTGGAAGGAACTAACTTGGTGTACTTGTTGGCATCACCGTATTGTTGTGCACAATGCGTTGGCCAGACGACGAGAGATATGAACGTGAGGTGGAATGAGCACGTGTCTAGATATGAGAAACGGAGTAAGGACAGCCACTTGTATCGATGGTGGCCGAATTTTGGTTGGGAGTCGTACGTTTTGCTATCGATTGCGAGATGTAATGACAGCGCACTGATAGCGCACGAACGGTTGTATATTCAGTAGTGGTGTCCGACTTTGAACACAAATGGTAAGCGAAGAAGGAGAGGACGATGCAATAAGAAGAGAAGAGGGAAGAACAAACACAAGCAGAGCAGAAAGGTTGACTGAGGGTCACCAATTGAGAGACGCGCGGTACCAATTGCAGTGAGTTAGTACCTTGGCCGAACTCAAGAAGGCGGGGGTTCGTGAGTGTGAGTTGGAATCATCGGGGGGTAATTGTTGCCTTGAGGGATGGAAACGGATTCGAACCGCATTTGGGATGACGCATATGGGTAAGGCAAGTGAGAGGTTGACTTTGGGGAAGAGTAAGAAGCGGTTGGAGGAAGGAGGGGTCATGAAGATATGGTACTTGCGACGCTGGTACCCGAAGGTAACTCACGATAAACAAGCGTTGATTAAATATCTTCGGAACCCGAGGAAAATTCCGGACATAAAGACCCTCGAAACCGAGTGACTTTTCAAGTTCTACAGAGCGGCTAAAGAATTCTAGAAGAAAGGAACAAGGTCTTACCTGTGGAGGATTGTGTCCAGAGCAATTAAGGAGTCTACGAACTGGCAAATGAGAGTTGATCTAACGGTCAAACTAAAGTTTGACGACAGGGTGAAGTTGTCTGAAGTAAGGAAATTAACGAATGACAAGATCGAGGATTTCGCACTTCCTACATGCATGTCGTTGAGAGCACGTAGTAAGGTGAAGATCGTCTGGGTGAAGAACCCAACGATTGGTGACCTACTGCACAATGAACGGACGTTTGCGAAAGCAAAGGTTTGTGCCTGCACTTGTGCAGATTTACCCTATCCACGGATACGAGATCATATGCGCTTCCGACTACATGAATTGGAGGAAATCGATCCACTTGTTGTGAATGTTAAGAACGTGCCTAGAGCAGCTCATCCACAACGCGCCGACGTACTGATGAAGGAACTGCAGGAGACTTTCGTATCGTGGTCGAATGGTAACAGACAGCCTACATCGGCATCATTGGACGAAGTCTTGAAGTGCATGGCGGAGACGAGACCAACGGATCGCAACTATATTGATCTCGATACTATCAAGGCTTTGAAGGAATCACTCGAAGGACTGGTATGCACACCACTCGACAGAAACCCAGGGGAGACTTTAGTTCTCTGTCCGAAGCTGTACCATGAGGCGATGATGACGACTTTTGTCTGTAATCCGGGTTACAGGATAGCAAAGGAAGATGAATCGTTAGTGAAGGAGGAGATGAAAAAGGATTTGAAGGAAAAGGGTTTAGTTCATTTGGCACGATTTGATGGGAAAGGATGTTTTGGACAGGCTTATGTCCTGCCAAAACACAAGGATTTGGATCGGTATCGGCCGATCTGCCCATCATACTCCGAACCAACTGTCAGGATGTCGCGTTGCATTGCTAAAGCACTCAATCATTTTTTGTTTTCTCTACCGCAGCGGTGATACTTCAATCTAAGGACGGTGTCGGACCTGACACCTATGATCGGTAGATTGAAGCAGAAGATTGTACGAAAGGAGGGGGGTAATACGCACATAACCACGATGTCGTATGACAACAAGGACATGTTTAGCAAGTTGCCGTATGAGGAGATCTTGCTGGCTATCAATTGGATCATTAACCACTACGTTGAGAAGGGAAAGAGTATGATGACAGTTAACCCAAGAGGATGGGGCTGCACTTTCGGAGCTACAATAGGTGCGGACCACTGGCGGAAGATTGATTTGGAAGATTTGCGGAACTTTGTGTCTTTCGAGTTGGAACATATCTATGTGAAAGCTACCAATGTCTTGTTGCAGCAGCGGGTTGGCATCCCCATGGGGAAGAGTACCAGCCCTCCACTTGCTTGTATCCTCTGCGCTCACGCAGAGTACAAGTTTTTGTCAGCTCAAGGAAAGGACAACGAACGAATCATAGAAATCCAGTTGACCGACGATGTGAGTGTACTGATCTTCGGCAAGAGCCAAGACACTGAGAAGTGTGATCAAATCCGTAATGCGTTTGAAGTCTGTTACCCCAGTAACTTGACGTTGAAGTGCACTGATGATGGTCTCGGTAAGTGGGATTTTTTGGGACTGAGAATGACGGCGCAGTCTAAGTTTTCATACATTAGCTCTGTACAAGTCTCGAAGAATGAAGTGAATCTGTGGACGAATGAGAAGCTCAAGTTCAAAAACGGGCAGAGTTACTACTCCTGGGGTAGTAAAACTCAGA